ACCAAATAATGGGACCAGGAAATGAAGAGAAAAGGAGATGGTCACAACTCTCCTCATGTGTAAACATGACATGACTGGACAAAAATCTTAGCAAAATCGCTTGAAAATAAAAATAGGTTACATTCTCTTCAGAGAATTGTTTCGGAAGAATTTCACAATGTAATCTCTGTATAGTTTTAATAGCACGATCTGCAGTGGTAAACTTTCTCAGAAGTTCTGAACTTTGTGTTCCCAAAAGGTGAACTTTTGAGAACGATCTCCAAAGTTCACCTGAAAAAGCTCTGGAAATTTACCCGAGCCATGAATTTCCATTAGAAATTATAAAAATACGAGAGAGAAAGAAGGGGCTGTTCATGGGACTCCCCTGCGACATTTTATTTCTTTCTTGGTTGTCGGCGCTCAGGTAATAGGACAGCAATCATTCCAGTCTTATGTTGTTCCAGACTAAAGAATTTGTATTACGAATAATTTATATCACTGAATTTTAAAAGGAATAGGGAAATATGTTATGAGGAGGATGAATAAAACAACATCTAACAAATTCAGCGCATTGTATTCTAAATTTTAAATGACCCATAAATTGCATTACATAATTAAAATGGAGGAAAGGGTTATGCACAGTTTACGATCATTGTATTTATTCGTTTAATATTCATTTTCAGCATTGATAAGTAAATTTTCCTTAAATCAGTTGAATTTCGAAGACAATTTTCTCACAATAAGTTGTTTTCCGTTCGTATCTCGGTGTTCGATCGTTGTAATTCGCAACCGGCAGGAGCATCGGTTTTTCCGGCGGAAATGGCTGGGAAAAAGTCCGGTTTGCCTTGGCCATGTCAACAGTTAATGCAATTTCATTCCTCGGGATCTCCAAACACATCCTCGATGGCTACCTGATGGTTGTTCTTCTTACGTTAATTTATTATTAGTAAGGGAAGATCGTACGTCCGCGTTACTTTTAGCTCATGAAACGCGCGTCAGCAGGAACGGAAATGGGCTCATTAATAGACGACGTGACTTGGCAACCGCATGACGTCACAGAGAACTGCGGACTGAAGCTATAAAGAAAGCTGAATCACGGGAACGTTTTACAGCCATTAAAAAAACTGGAGTAGTTGTGGCGACAGCGATATGTCGAGGGGTAAGGCTGTGACTCGTGATTGGAAGGGCACCGAGTCCGACTTGGTAAATACCATGGTTGGAACTAATAATATTAGTTAACTAGTTTATTATTAGTTAAACCGTGGTATATGCTATGATTGGTGCACGTGTTTTTCCACATTTTACCGAACTAAAGTGATGCAGAGACATTATTGCTACTAGGGAACAAAAAACTTATTTACATCAACGACAACTATCGATTGATCAATTGAATCTCCACAAAAAACTTTTTCGCTGGTTGATTTTTCTGGGATGGAAATATTCCTATTAGATATTTTTCCCCCGTCGAACATTCAAGATCAACTTTTAATAAAATTGAATTCATTTTGTATTTAAATACTATCTAGAGAATGTGATGTCGAAAAATTTGCGCACACTTGCTTCTCTTTTCGTTGTAAAATTGTGTTCTGTAAGGCATGACTAAAAGATGATAAACGTGATATACTTGTACAATTGGAGTAACTTCGAATACTATAGGTGACCGAGAATAATTTGTTTACAGAAAAAGTAAAGTATAAATTTGGAACAAACCAAGAAATCAATGCACGCCCACAAAATATTTCTATCTTTCAGATAAATCGGTGCGCAAACCCATCCATCGCGATTTATATAGAAAGTAAGTACCTTTCGAAGGCTTCAATTGAAACTGAAAAACAGATACTCACAATTTCCTAATGTTTTGTGGATAAAATTCATGATTTTGAAAAATTCTATAAAGTTTTTCATTCATGACTGTTCTTGATTGATGATTTGAATGCAAAATTTTTTCTGACGGACTAAAAATCGTTAGATTATTTGTAAACATTTATGTTTAACCGTTGATTGCATAGAATATTCATCGAGTTGTTATAATAGCAAAACAACCAGAAAGCTTCACAACATTTTGTAACAAAGTAATCCACGTTGAAAAACTACATTTTAAAGGAAATTTCGAGTGAATAAAAAATCTTTGGTTAACGAAAAGACTCGGTACAAATTAAGGCGCTGTGACGTAAATGAGCGACGTTCTGCATCGAATATGTCAAACAAATCAAAGAATGACTCGGCAAAATCTCGTGTCTAGAACGTCTCATTAATCCTTGAAGCTTCATCCATGGTAAAACCAAGGTCAGCAGATTGCCACTGAATAACTTAGGCCTTTCTTCGAGCACGGTACTTTGATCTCTGAATTTCACTTAATTGTGTATTGAAGACAATGATGGCAATTGCACTGCTAGATATATTCTTAATTACTGTTGACTGTCAAATGCAGTCAATTACTTTAGAGTCTAGTAGACGTAAACGCACACTCAAAGAAATTAACGAAAATTTTTCTAAATAGCGACGCACATTTGCCCTTCTGTGGGTCATCTCGAAAAAATACGTCTCAACCCAGAAAAAAAATACGTTTCAACGCTACATGCAGCAAGTGCGATTATTTGGACAATAATACCATCTATTTTCCTAAGTGCGGCTACCGCAGCTTCGGTAAGTACCCATGTTTGCTGTTTGATGGCGCAACGATTGTGGACAACCGTGCTTCATCCGGCAGCGCCGCCCCTACATCGGATGTGTCGCGCTCACGCTCGTCACTTGTCGTCCTGCATCGTCCGGGCCAGCACGTGTGCTGCTCCGAGATAACCTAGTCTCCAGAGACTAGGTTATACCTAGACTGTGCACGATATCTGTGCTGATTTCCGTTTGGGTTTTATCATTTTTCTTCAAGTGTTTCATAAATTAATATAAGTACATGTTGCATGCCATATAAAATTTTCCATTTTATGACTGAAGCGGAACCTTGTTTTCTTAATGAAAAATTAGTTATTTACTTGGAAATCGCAATTACTTTAATTAATGCCTTTTCTGCCAGGTTTCATAGATTTCGATATTTTCTCTGGATTTTCGATTTTCAAGTTCTGAAAATAGAAACTGAACAAACACTAAATAAATAATTGTAATTCAAGTTAATTGTCGTAAAGAATTGAACAATGATGATAAATTTGATCTATTTTTAATGTACTCTGCATCACTTGATTCCTCAGAATATTGTGTATTTCTTATAAGTTTCGATTGAAGGATTATTTGAGTGTATAACAATAGTTCTTGTCAAAAACATGAAAGTGAACTTTCGTTTTGCTTTGTTGAGAAAAATCAAGTGAAAATCTGAAAAAACTTTGATTCAACTTCCACGAAAAAATTCTCAGAATGAGTAGGCAGGCCCACGTAAATGCAGCCTTCATCGACGATGAAGGCTTCAACCAGCAGAGCCTCAAAAAGAAACAAGATGAAATTTCCAATAAAACGAAGAATCCCGCGCCTCTCACTGATCTCAACGAGGAACTTATGGATTTCGACGACATCGTGCCATACTTGGACAAGTTTGGCCGCTACCAAAAGCTTCTTTTCCTCGCAATGGCTCCGTTTTGCTTTAATTTAGTCCTGATTTATTTCCCGCACATTTTTGTGACCCTGGAACCTGAACATTGGTGCAGAGTTCCAGAACTCCTGCATCTTCCTCTCGATGTCAGGTGAGCCCTTAAGAAGTGTATCAAATCATAATTTTGATGTACATGCCCAACTACAGAACTACTATAGTAATAACTGTGAATGCAACATCACTGCTTAATACACACCCCTTACTAAAATAAAACCAATCGTGAATACTCCATTACTATGATGTCATTTGATCTCCATATGCTGTGTTTCATCGCCGAAGATTTTCAAACTTTTTCGAGTAATAATTCATTAGGTTAAGAATTCCACTACATTTTACGAACGCGCTGCCCTTACAATGGCTAATTATAAACATCTGAATTTCATTACAATTTCAACACTTCCAAGAAATAATCCCTAAGTCATTGGCCATTTTGAAACTGCTTTATTCGTTGTAATTTTTACACCAGTATGTGTGCAAAGGTCTTTTTTTCTGAGGATTCTCAAACACTGGATCAAATCATAACTTTATTGAGAACTATTTAATTTTACAGACGCAACTTGAGTGCGCCCATTTCTGCCGAGACTGGAAGATACGACAGCTGTCGGGTATACGATGT